CTTTAGTGACTTCGACCATAGTTATTCCTGGCCTCTTCGCCTGACTCCTAGAAGCCTCGATCACATTCACCTCTGAAGGTTCGGCATAGTGTGCTTCAGCCTGCAAAGGGTTATAGTCCACAGTCATGGGGGTCTTATCAGCGAACTTCAACCTCCCTTCTTCAATAGCGTTTTGTACGAGATCCCTGAAAAGAAAACATTGAGATGTTTTATGGCCCAGAAAATTATGATATTTACAAAAGCCTTTTTTCTTTCTTTGATCAAGAGGAGGCACTTTTACCCCCGGGGGTATTATCAGTTGGCCATCTTTTACAAGTAAGTCAAAAATTTCATCACATTTTGTGATGTCAAAACTGTAAGTCTTTTTAGGGAACCTATCATTTGCCCTTTCAGGACCAGTGGGGTTTTTTCCACTTGAGGGGACTAGTAGTTTGCAAGAGTATGGTGGCCCTTGTTTTAACTCAGCTAAATCGACCTCACTTTCTTCGACGGTTATAGGTTCGTCGAATGTTTCTGGATCTTCATCGTCCATTTCGACATACGCTATCCTTTCTCTTTTATGAGTTTTTGTCGCCCTGGCTTTTTCAGCTTTAAGGCGTTCTACTTGTCGAACCCTATCGGCCAATTGGGCCATGTCTCTCAGGTATTGAGTGTCTAATTTCTTCTTAATGGAGTAATCTAGACCTCCTGCGACTATTTCGACTAACTCATGTTCTGGCACTTGCGTAAAGCATCTTGCCTTGAGCAACCTAAACCTATTTAGATATTCGTCTATAGGTTCAGTGAATCGCCTCTTTACACTGGCCAACTCTTTCAGGCTTATCTTGGTTTGTCCCATGTAAAATTGCTCATGGAATAATCTCTCCAACTGGGTCCAATGGTGGATCAAATTGGGGGGGAGAGTTGTGAACCAAGTAAACGCGTTCTTTGTTAGGGAACTTGGGAAATACTTAATCTTCAGGTTCTCATTGTTTGAAATCTCTCCTGCTTCGATCAAGTATCTTGCCACATGTTCGATAGTGGATTCTGTCGTGTCCCCTGAAAACTTAGTGAACTTAGGGACTTTGCATCTAGGAGGCAAGTCCGTTTGTAACACATATTCTGACAGTGGGGATGTAAAGTTGGGCCTACGGAAGCCCGTATTCATCCCATTTTGCATCATGATTCTTTCAATCACGGTTGTCAAGTTATTTTCCAAACCAATATTCTGGTATTGGATCTGCTGAACTACTTCGTCAGCATTTTGGTTTCTATTAACCATTCTTACTTCCGGGGCTATGACCCTAGGCTCTTCGACCCCAGGTTGTTCCATTCGTACCCTAAGGTTTTCTTCGACAGGCTGCTGGACTTGGTTAATGTTGGTTTCTTCCTCTAGAAGTATACCTTGGTTTCCCCTTATCTGTGCCCTTTGGGGCTGTCGAATAGGTTGGGGTACCCCAAAAAAGTCATCCAGACGCGTCATTTGCGCTGTCAATTGCTGATTCGACTGGGTGGTATTTTGTATTAGAGGATTTAGCATTGTGCTTAAAGTTTGTGCCAACATTTGAACCATATCATGGTTACTTTCGTCCATTTGCTGCCTCAAGACTGCTGTCAAGGCATTCGTAAGGCCATGCATTACTTGGGACGTTCCTCCTAAGAGTTTGGTCCTACCCCTGTTCGCCATCCCAACTCCAGAGCCTTGGAGTGGCGAAGAAGCGCTCACTAAAGAGTCTGAAAAAGTGGACGCAACATTCGTCAGGCTAGCCAATTCAGATGTTGGCATGCCATAGAGTGGTTCTCGATTTAGACCGACTGTCGAAAAACCTGGGGGAACATATGGCCTAGTTCCTTGGTGGGGGAGTTCCCAAAGGCATTCTGGGGCCAGTAAATGGAGGTAATGGCCCCGTTTGTGTAACCGTTACTGCTGGTGTTGAACCAGCGGTTACCATTTCACTTACGGTTGGGATAACCGTTGTTCCCACGCTTGTTTGTGGGATTTCTCCATTGTTTGGCGGATTCGCCATCTCTTCACTTCTTCTCCTAGTATTGGTTTCGTTGGTGTATATTCTACCACTTCTCAATAACATGCAATACTCTCGAAAAAGGAGGATATTTTATATAAAACGGTTAACCATGAAAATCAACACAAGGTCTCACTGGGCGTGCCAATTTGTTTACCGTGGAAATTGGTAAACAACCGCTGATCTTCCAAAAGGTTACTTATTTGGTGACTCGCAGGATCGATCAGATTGATCCTAAGACAGGATTGATTTTCTGGAGTTTGACTAATCCTAATGGTGATTAATGCCGGTAAAGTAAAGACACTTTAAGTAAATTGCATGAAGAAAAGCTTGATAGAATAAATAAAAGCGTTAAGTAAAAGGCTTCGACGGAGATAAGTAAATGAAAAGCGATAAATTGCTTGAATATAAAAAGACTTTGATTAATTTAAATGGTGTTTCACACATATATTCTCAACGATTCTTTCGCTCACGCTGGGTACTTGAATCTAGATGAGTGACTTGTATAAGATGATGAACACACGCGAAAACTACGTGAACAACTAGTATTTATACTAAAACAAATCATAAGTAACCGCTGGGCAGTTACGCTGCTTCGAGATGACGCCACATGGCACGCTCACAGCCTTCGACGCTTCTGTCTTCGTCACGTTGCACTTGGTAACTGCTGGAAACTGTTTTCCCTCCAACAATTCAAATCTCAAACCGTTCGACCTTGGGCATCAGGTACCTTCGTCGAGAGTTTCCTTCGACGTCGAAGACAACAAGATTCCCGCTTAAAGGAATTTCTCTAAGTATCTTGTCATTCTTTGATGAGCCCTCGACAGGATCAGCTGGTCGAAGCCTTCTTATGTAGGAAACACTTTTGACTCATAATTAATGGTCTATGTATGATAAAAAACAAGGGTTTCAAATTTAGGAGCCAACACACGCATGCCTTGATGAGACGTTTTGGAAAAAGACAGTCATGATTAGCTATGACGTCAAGAAATGAAGGAAATGAAGGGTTGCTAGTCGAAATCTGGTGATTACAAAAGATGGCCATTTCTGCATTGATTCGAAATGTACATTTATTGGGGACAATTTGTTAGCTAAAGATTTTGATATTTGATAAAAAATATGAAAGTTGATGTGAGAAGGTCGTGGTCTAAAAATAATAATAACATGAAATTGGACCTTACAAGGTTATTTTTGTAAAAAGAAAAAAAACTTATGATTCAATATGTCGAAAGAGGAACTTAAAATAATATTTTAAGATATGTGAAATACTTCGACAGTCACGTTGGTTGAATTCAAAGTTGAATTCAAAAAAGCTTCGAGCGGGAAGTTTAAATTTCAAACTAATGCATTTCGCCAGAAAGACGCGTGGAAATGCCAGAATGTCTGCATGTAAAAGGTGTCAAACGTGGCGTAATCTCATAGAAAGACCGTTACGTTCGAATTAGTATAAATAGGAGTCTTAGATGTTAGGATTCAAGGTGTTCACATCTTTGTACAATATACTCAAATATTTAAAATACCAGTGTTAGAGAAACAAGTTAGTGAGACATGTATGTATGATGCACCATATTTACATTCGAAAGTTATTTACATTTAATGAAATTTCTTCATGTCATTTATATTCTTTACGATTTACAGTCTAGAATAGTTTTCTATTTTATTGTTTTTATAAGAACACTTTATTTGATATCAAAGTGATTCTCTTCGTGTAAAGAAGTTATCATCAAAACCTTTTTTCTAAAAACTAGAACACAATAGTCCTGAGATCAATCTGATCGATCTCGCAAGTAACTGAATTTTTTTAAGAGATTTAGAAGATCAGCGGTTGTTTACCAAATTACAGGGTAAACACATACACCTAACAACCAACCGAAAATGATTACCAAACCACATACACCTAAATTCGCGACCAATTCATGCCACATACCCAAACACAAAACAAGAACATAACTCATACCACCAACAAATATATGCCGCCACTAAATCTTACCATAACACTGATGAAGCATATGATACCACCACATCCTAATATAGCCCCCAAAAAATGTACACTCAAATATCACACTACCAAAGCATCTAAATATCACACTGCCAAAGCATCCAACCAACATATGTTTATCAAACACCACAACAACCATTGCTTCATTTCCAACATTAATCAATGTCCCAATTCAACCAACTATTTGATTCACCCATAACACAACCAACACAACCCAACTACGATGAAGTATGCATCAAACTCGATTACGAAAACATATGTAAATAGCGAGAGATGCTATATTTCATTGATGGCACTAATGTTTCAGGGACCTCGCTCTAAACATCTTAGGTGAATCTAGTGAGCCACCAAACACCTCAAATGAATCTTTAGAGACAACAACCATCTTAGAGGAATCACGTGCAACCTCTACTGTGAAGGATAACACTTGATTGCAGAACTGGTGACCGTTATGATTAAGTTAAAATATGTTTACAAAGTTTTCCGTCTAGTAATTCTATTTAAATTTAATAACACTAATATTTATTTTTTTCCCGATTTATTTTAATTAATTATAACTTTAATTTAAAATAAATACCAATGCACTACGGTGCCAGAAGTATTGCGACTCCTCTTAAATCCTCAAAGCATGCGCCACTTTTATTGATATGATGATAATGCTTGTATCACAAAGTCTGGTGCATTCTCTTAATTATAAATTTTTTATTTAAAATATAAATATTTTGGTGAATAATATGGAATGTCGGTTATTGAGGTAATAAATTTGAGTTATTTAAAAAAATAAAAAAATATTTTATTGGAAGGGACAAAATGGTCCATTAACGTCATTTGGATTTGGATCAGTCAAGTTCAGCCCACATACATTTCACAGGCCTTTTTCCTTTGTAAGAACAACATGCAATGAATCTATTTTCTAAAAAAAATCGATTGATAAATCAAGTGACTCATCACCAGCATCCAATCACTTTCACTACACCATTTCCCATTGCAAACAAACAATGCTGTGTTTGAAAACACACCTCTCTTTTCCATTCCGCATCCCATCATCAGCATCTCCAAAACACCTCACACACCACCTCCGTTCCTCGCCGTTCAGATCCACGATCAAGATGACGTCATCAACCAAAACCCAAGCCATCGAACACATCGTCCTCTTCAAAGTCAAAGAAAACACCGAACCATCAAAAGTAACCTCCATGCTTAACGGACTCAGTTCCCTCATCTCCCTAGATGAAGTCCTTCATCTTACCGTAGGCCCTCTCCTACGCAATCGCTCCACCGCGTTAACGTTCACTCACATGCTCCACAGTCGGTACAAGTCCAAAGAAGATCTCGAAGCCTACACCGCGCATCCAAGCCATCTAGGCGTCGTTAGGGGAAGCGTTCTCCCGATTATTGATGATCTAATGGCGGTGGATTGGGTTGCTGACGATGCCGATTTGGTTCCGGCAACGGGGTCGGCGATTCGTGTGACGTTGTTGAAGTTGAAGGAGGGCGTTGGTAGCAGTGAGGTTGTGGAGGTTATTAGAGGAATACCGGAGAGTTTTAAACAGATTAGTCAACTGACTTGTGGAGAGAATTTCTCGCCGGCGAGGGCTAAGGGTTTTTCGGTTGCTTCGCTTGCTGTGTTTCCCGGGGAGAGGGAGTTGGAGGAAGTTGATTCGGATAAGGAGCTGGTGGAGTATCAGAAGGAGAAAGTTAGGGATCGTGTGGAGAGTGTGGTGGTGGTTGATTATGTGGTGCCGCCGCCTCCGCCACCGCAATCGGCGAGTCTTTGAATTGGTGATGAAGGTTGTTTCTGTTCAATTGGTGTTTTTGAAATTTGAGTTAAATTGTTATGGGATTTAATACTAATACTGTTATGGTGCAATGTAGAACAATAATAAGGGCTGCTACTTTCAGTTTCAGTGTTGTGTTCTTGTCTTGCTCTTTCAATTTTACTGTTTTGTTATTACATTAGATCTAGTGTTTTAGTTGTTAACTGAAGGTTGAAGGTTAGCAGGTACATGAAAATGAGAAAAACTTCAAGAGTTTCACACTTAACTAAGACCTTAACAACAATGAAGAGTAAACTTGGAAGAAAATGTGAAGCCTTATGATACACACCCTAGAATAGAATTAAAGGAATATGTTGGAGCCTTAAGATACACCCTAGCATTAAAGCAATATGTTGTTGTATTCTAAACAATGCAGTCCTAATGAGGAGTGAACTAAGTAAAAGAGGGATAAACTGCCCTATATTCTGCCCCCATATGATGTCTAAACACCATTTACTACGGGAAACAGGGGATTACGTTTTTAAGATCTGTGAATGGTCTACAAAAACTTAGTTTGGGTCGAAGCTTAACATAAATTTCTTAAACCATCTGAATGAATTTATAAAGAAATGGCTATGAGATACTATTACTACTAAAAACAAAGACACGACCAACTATGTCATGACAATTCTCTATAGTATTTGGAGGGCTACAAATAGAGAAATCTATGATGATATCGCTATTCCCATTGAAGCCACTATCGGATATTAAAACAATATTATCAACCAAAAGACAACTATAAACAACCTAAAGTAGACAGGGACAATAACACTAAGTAGAAGCAAGAAGGAAATGATCACTCTCATAATAACAATACCAACAATGATAATTATCAAAAAGATATTAACATCAAAAGATAATGTACCGATAAAAAGTATAGATGTGTATGTTACTACTGCAAGAGTAGAGACATTCAGATGTCTTAGTAGGTTTATAATAATTTGCGATAGTTAGAGCTTGTCTACGGTGGCGAGAAGTCCTATATGATGTTTTTTTGATGGTTTAAGATTACCTGCTCACATGAGGTGAGAGACTATGTATCTCGGTTTAGTGCTTAAGTATAAACGTATGAATTATGGTGTTGTGTGTAAGTTAGGATATGATCCCTTTCTCCCCTTAAGGGAGAATTATTTTTAGAGGCCTTTTGGACCTAGGGTTTAGGAAACCCTTAGAGGAAGTAATTGTTCCCCCTTAACTATGGAGGATTGTTAACTACCTACCTTTTAGAGAGTCATGGTAAGACTCACTTTTATTTGACTAATGGAAAATAATGGTACTATACTTGTCACTCTTCCCAAAGGCGAGCCCTCGCAATCTATGAGGATGTCGCCCGAGTGATATCACACTAGGCGGGGACCCTGGAATTGCCCTTATTTTGGGCTCCCATAAATATAACACCACGCAGTCTCTCAAGCACGAGAGCTTGTAAAAGATGATGTGCTTTTAAGTTCTCTATTGTTTATGAGGGGAATCCCTCAGCTTGGGACGAGTCCCTCATCTGAAGGCAATCTTTTTGACATGAGGAGAGTCCCTCGGCTTGGGGCGAGTCCCTTAGCTGAAGGCGAACTTTTTGACGTGACGGTGATTCTCCCAGCTTGTGGGAGAGTCCCTCAACTGAAGGCGGCTTTTTTGACGCGGGGAAAGTCCCTCAGCTGAATGAGACCTTTCTTTTGTGGGGAGAGTCCCTCATTTTTTATTTGCATAAGCCCTTAATTGAGAGATGAGTCATCTCTTCCTTCCAAATGTCTCATGATTATCTAAAATTTCAGTTGAGAATGTCAATCAATCATTCAGATCGCCACACTTACTTCTATTTAATGTAAGTAATGATGACCTGTTTTTCGAGACCTTAAACACTAGTGGCATGTGTCAGAAATCTGATGAGCTTTTCAAAGTTATGAAGTAATCTAATAGGTCCCTTATGGTTTTAACTCCCTTATAAAAGCTTTCTCCTCCCACTTCATTTGTTCTATTTTTCTCCCACGACTTCTGCATGCTCATATGAACTGCTCAACTCTTGTTCGCCCCTGATTCTTTGTTCACAACCTTTTTCCAAGTATGAGTTTCCCTTTCTCATGCTCTTTCTGTAGTGAGTGGGGTTTATGAATAAATATTTAAAATAGAGCTTAGGCTAACGTAGGGCCATAGGTTTTGAGGGTTATAATCACCCCCATTGACGATTGCGACGATGGTGGTGATTTCTTTTTGTTTTACTATTTCCCCATGAACAAGAACACAATGGCTACCCCTTCCGTCGTTCTCAAGGACATCGAGGATATTGGACCTTATTACACTTATGACAAACAAATCCTCTATTATTGATTGGAAGTGGAGGTTCCTCTTCAGAAGATGAAGACATGGTTATTCTGGAGGCTTGTTTGTCGTCTGAGAGGGTGACAACCCCTATCTCCTATGATCCTTCTTCTCTTTACTTTTACTTCTACCTCGTTTTATCAAGGAGATGGAAGTTCTTTTCCCCTTTTCCCCATTTCCATGGAGGCTTTAAGGATTCTCAACGTCGTGCCCTCCCAATTGTTCCCTAACAATTAAGGTTTTATCAGGGCCTTTGAGATGGTCTATGGGGACTTGGAGATCACTCATACTATAGGATTCTTTTACTCCTTTTATACAACCAGATCAACGAAGGGTAGTTAGGTGTGTCCTTAAGTGGTCTTCCAGTGAATGCCTTTTTTTGCCTTTCGCTTCAATCATTACAAGAATTGGAAGGACAAGTTTTCCCATGTGAGGGGTCAAGAAAGTTCACTTGGAGTGTTGGGAGATGATGACGCCCTATGTTTTCCTTTGCATGGTCAAATGATCTTGTGGCGATCAGGAGATATAACAAGAATTACCCTCGAGGAGGCGATGATTATTCTCCTCCTGAAGAAGTTTGAAGTCATGGACTCACATATAATAATTAAACTGTAGATATATGGCGATAACCATCTCTCCGTTTACCTAGGTAAACTTTAGATACTCAATTTTCCTTTGTAGGTATTTTTAGACAACATCTGTGAACTATTTTACAAATCAAATAGTGAATATTTCTACTAAAGAGAAGATAAGAAGATGCAAAAAGATCTAGGGTTAGTAGGGAGACTAAGGGTCCCTAGAGTCACCTAGAGAGTTTCACCGTTAAGGGAAAAAGGTAAGCTGAGGACCCAACTTCAAATTCTCCCAACATGAAGGCTCAGAGGATGGAAGAGAGTTCTTCTCTTATTGTTGGTGTCATCTAGCCCACTTTTGGGAAGGTGTTCCCTAAAGCACAATCTGAAGGCGGGGCTCCCCCACCTCCCTCTACTTTTTTGAGTGATGTCGGTTTTGACACTCTCTGTTTCAAGAGTTCTGACCTCCCTTTCTCTAAGGAATTTCCTAGTGACTACCAGTCCCTCAAATCTAAATTGAATCATGTGATCATAAGCATGAATGCTAACTTTATGTTGAGGACATTTATGGTGGAGGATGTCGATCAGAAGAGGCGAAATAAGGTTGAGAGAGAGATATGAAGGTGAATCTCCAAAAGTACGTGAACACCTACAATGAGAGGTAGATGCTACTGAAGGCCATACAAAAAGACAAGGAGACGTGGGATAAGAAGCTGGTGGGTGTGAAGGCTAAGGCTGAGGAGATCACTGCTAAGGAGAAATCTTCACGGGAGTCCTTAGACGCCGCCCTCCATCGCCAATAAGAGCTAGAGGTAGAGGTGTTAGATATTACTTATGATGAGGTATCTACCTCTAGCGTCTACTTTGAGAAGAAAAGAGATCAAGTTTCCTTTCTTTATCCTAAGCTGGATTTAAGCAAGTTGGAGTTCCTTAAGTTATGCACGATGTTCGGCTAGTGGATGAAGAGGAACCAGCCCCTTTAAAGCCTAAAGGTTTTTCTCTCGCCAAGGACACCTCAGATGAGGGTGGGGAAATGGTAAGAGGTGAATCTGAGCCCCCTCAGCTAGAGGATGTCGTCGAGAAGGAGGTAGTTTAGGAGGATAATTGATGGCTTAGGTTTTCTCCAAATGGTTTTTTGCCCCTAGTGGCCCTTTGTTATATTTGTTTGCCCTCTCCAGGGCTTTTTGTAATTATAAAGACAGCGGCGCCCCTTGGGGAGAATTTCATATTAATCTCCTTTACGGTTATTTTTCTCTATAGTTGTTTCTGCTTAATTGTTTTTGACCCTTAATTTGGAATATATGTTATTGCCACCCTCTCCCAAGGAAGAGCGTATATTTTTTCGCTTTTCATGCCAGGACCATAATAAGGATCCTTATGAGAGTTCAATGATTTTTCCGCTTCTAAGGACTTCAAGGGTTCCTCTTAGGGACCCAACATTTTATTCGTCTCTAAGGGCGACAAAGATCCCATTCAAGGATCCATCATTGTAATTGTCTCACAAGGTAACAAAAATCCCACTTAGAGATCCAACATTTTGACTGCCTCTGAGGGAGGCAAGGATCCCACTTAGGGATTCAACATTTTGATTGCCTCATTGGGCAGAAAGGATCCCACGTGAGGATCCAACATTCTTATTGCCTCATAGGGCGGCAAGGATCCCACTTAGGGATCTAGCATTTTGACCGCCTTATAGGGCGGTAAGGATCCCCTTAAGGATTCAATATTTTGATCGCCACTTAGGATGACAAGGATCAAACTTAGGGATCCATCATTTTGATCGCCTTTAAGGGAGACAAGGATCCCACTTAGGGAACCATCATTTTGGTTGCCCCTTATGGTAGCAAGGACCCCTCCTTAGGGATCCACCATTTTGATCGCCTCTTAGGACGACAAGGATCCCACTTAGAGTTCCAGCATTTTGATCACCTTTGAGGGCGGCAAGAATCCCACTTAGGAATCTAACATATTGATCGCCACATAGGGCGATCTTCTCCCTAGTTTATAGATTTCCTGCAAAAAAAAGGAATATCTAGCAAGCACTGATTATCTAAATTAATAAAATAAGGGGCCTCG